TTTACAGCCTGGTACAAAAATACTTTTGGTCTCTACAGCTAATTTCCTCCTTCATGACAACTGTACAGGGGGGAATTTTTATATAACTTGTGTGTGTGTGTGTATATATAACTGGCAAGATGGTGACAGTGGAGCAGTGAGCTGCAAAACCGTTCTTCAGAAACCTATGGGTGATGTCACAGAGGGTACATCCATCTTTATTTAATCTATGGTCCTGACCAGCTCCACATCAACGGCCTCAATGGAGACTGGTTGCGCGAGTGGCCCAGACGTAGGAGCGTCCGCCAGCATCTCCTTGGTCTTGGATGAATTCAGCTGCAGTTGGTTGACTGGAACCATGCAACAAAGTCTTCCACCGGGACCCTGTACATATTTTCCTACCAAAGAAAGCATTAGGCCTATTAAAAGCCTGCATCTCTTGTGATAATTTGGTCTAATGGTGTGGATGTAACTTCCAGCTTCGTCGAGAGGTGAGACTGAGGAGGGAGTACCTGTATAGGAAGGCCCAAGAGGACCGGCTCCGAACAATAGAGGAGAAAAAACAGAAGCTGAAGGGAGCGCTTGATGGTAGGATGGCATGTTCATTAGATTCCATTTTTCCTGCATTTTGCATGGAAAGTTGTCAACACTCTCAAATCCTTGTTTAACATAAGCTTTTTTTTTTTTCTCTGCAGAAAATTGTCTTCTTCCAACTGAAGTACGCAAAGATGCCCTGCAGCTACAGAAACTACTGGAGTATGACGATGAAGGAGCAGAAGGTCGGTGTCATTATGTTCCTCCTGTTATCAACAGTACTCTTCTATTCTATCTTGTTTAATCATCATTCATTCTTTTGACCGCGCAGGCGTCAGCTCTCACATGGATGACGAGTATAAATGGGCCGGAGTGGAAGATCCTAAAGTCATGGTCACTACATCCAGAGACCCGAGTTCCAGACTCAAAATGTTTGCCAAGGTCAGGTCACTTTCTCTGTACGGACAGCAGAATCTCACCCTGAGATTGTAAGGGTGGCCAGTAACAGGAAGTTGCTGGTATGATGCAGGCCAGACGTAACCAAGCTACCTGATGGCTCCATGTGTCGCTCACAGCTCATTGTTTAAGTGTCTTTGAGCGAAACAGTGAAACTGAAGCTGCAGACAGCTTCTCACTGTATATCCCCGTGATGGCATGCATATGTACTGTACATGCTGTGTGGTTGGAAATCTACTCTAGTAGTTGCGATGAATGTTAAATGTTTATAACCCTTCAGTTTTTGCGCTTGTACTGTAAGTTTTTAAAGATGTTGTTAGATGTTTCCTAGAAACAACAATGTCATTTGGTAGCGATGCACATTAGTGATGTAATGGTACTCGGTTTTGAATTCACTGTTCGGTTTGTTTTCGGTACAGTGGGGAAAAAAAAGACATTACATTTCTTTTAAATTATAATAAATTTAACTTGTAATTGTAAACTTGTAATCCTGTGGCAAACTGGCCATAATTTCAAATTGGATGACGTGTTTCGTGAACACAAGAAATGCACATAAAGGCACATGTTTCTTAAAAAAAAAAACAAAAAAAAAAACCATTCACTGTATTCTGATAATTTGAATTGAGAAAGATGAATGTATCCACATCATCTGCAGAAAGGACAGATTCTTTTTTTGGCCTTTTATTCTGAGAGCCACAGTTGTTTTTTTCTGTATAAACCCATTATTCTTCTTCTTCTGAATTTTACTGAAACATTTAGAGTCATTAAATAAATATACCTGAGCTACACGTCACAGAAAAGAGTTCTTATTTGTCAATCACTGGAGAGTTGATGAACAGTGTGGAACTTGTTACAGGAGGTGAAGCTGATGTTCCCTGGAGCTCAGCGCATGAACAGAGGGAACCATGAGATTGCTGCACTGGTGCGAGCCTGCAAAGCCAACAACGTCACAGACCTGGTCATCATGCATGAGACAAGAGGACAGCCAGGTACGCTTGTTTACTTAAATCTTTTCTTTTTCTTTCTTTATTTATATACTGTTGTATACAGCAACAAATTTTTGCAGTGCAGCCTAAGCCATTGGAAATAATGGGTTTCGTAGCGTAGTGGTGCTGCTGTTATGTTGTGTCTGAAAGCCCCATAAATGTAAAAATAGGTGACAAAATGAAGACTAAGTCGTAGCTCTAAGATGGTGACCATTGTAAACAGGGTAAAAACACTTGCTAAACATCAGGGTATAAGTATGGTCATTGTGTGCCAATGTGCATCCTGGTATCAGAGTATTAATGTGAAAGTCAGCTACAGTCACTATGGAATAACTGCACTTGGAGAATCTGATTTTTTTTCCCCCCTGTATATTAACAGATGGCCTGGTGGTGTGCCACTTACCATTTGGACCCACTGCTTATTTCACACTTTACAACGTGGTAATGAGGCACGATGTTCCAGACATAGGCACCATGTCTGAGGCTTACCCCCACCTCATTTTTCACAACTTCACCTCACAGCTTGGCAAGAGGGTAAGTGCTGGACCACGCACTGTACGCATGCCATTGATATTTTCTTTCGCCACTTGTTTGTGCATACAGCTAATTAATTCTGGTTTGCGCAGGTATCGAATATCCTCAAGTATCTTTTTCCAGTGCCGAAAGAGGACAGTAGGCGTGTAATCACATTTGCCAACCAAGAGGACTTCATCTCTTTCAGGTCAATGAGAAAGTACTCCCGCTATGTAAATGCCCTACGGACCTAGTGATACTGGAACAGTAAGAATAGTAATAATCCTCTTTTTTTTTTCTTTTTTTTTTTACAGACATCACACCTACAAGAAAACAGACCACAAGAACATTGAGCTGACAGAAGTAGGACCCAGGTTTGAAATGAAATGTAAGTATGGATAGATGAAGAGATTCTTCACCTTCTAGATTCCTCCAGTACAGAGGCAGAAGCAGGGGGAAGCTCTTGGATGTATTTGTGACTAATTTGCTAGCTAACAAGACCCAACATATATCACACCTGTGTGAGGTTGAAGAGTCTTTTCAGTTGTTTCTGTGTCCCTCTGCTTCTGGTCTTCGGTCTATGGGCGTTCAAGGCTGAAAAAAAAAACAGCCCTGTATGCCTTGCATCTCAAAGGATGTCATGACAAAAATCACTACACCTCTCATTTTAATCATATATATATATATATTTTTTTTTTTTTTTGCCAGACCGCACCATTTTTTTTCCTCCAGAATCCTCTGCTCTAGGTGAAGGGGCTGTGTTATTATCAGCCGATATAAACTTACAACAAATATATGTAATCTGTTAGTGTCTAGTGTTGTGTGCATTGTGTTTGCATGAAGAGGCCAAGATGAGGGTATCGTTGGAAACGATCTCCATTTATTCTGACTAAAGAGGTCAATAGTAAAATCCTCCAGTCAATTGTGATCATGTAACTTAGCCCCTACACAAATTAAATGACACAATATATTTGTGTATAACACAATACATTTAAGCGAGCTACTGACCTCATGAATGTAGTTTAACAGACATTACTCTAATCACAATGCCGTTGCTTACCTCTCCCCTAGAGTACGACAACTAAAAGGGGAGAAGTAAAGGCAGGAGACCCCCTTTATAGTGGGGACCCCATGGAAGTTCACGTAGGGATACAGAAACTCTCAAACCTTCCGCATATTGACTCTGGAGGGCTAACATGTCATGTTATAACTACTAACAGATTTTGTGTAATTTATAATACAACATATTAGTGCTGTATAAATCACTCGTTACATATATAAATATTGGTGCATATGCCAGCCTGATAAATAACAAGAAATTCCAGTACAGCGATGCCAAAGATATGTTTGAACCAGTTTAGAAACAGTTGGGCATTACATAGTTTGTCCACCAAAGATCTCTGACAACTTCTTTTTTAAATTGTAAAAAAAAAAAAAAATTTTCCTGTAAAAAGAAAGATTCTTAGCCAGTATGTCATTATTAGACTTTTTAATATTGATGTCAGTGTTCTGCACTGGAAGAGGCTTGCACGTTTTGTGAAAGCACTATAAGTCTGTATGTGTTAAAACATCACGGTTTATAAGATACCCTTCTGAAAATGCATTACAGATGAGATTAAAGATTTATGAATAAGGAAAAAAAAGAGCCAGTGTGGAATGAGGATTTCTGTTTTAGGGGCATTTTCCTATTTCACAGGAGTTCCTCTGTTCTGTTCCACTTCTTTTTGACTGTGTTAAATATTTATATCTGTTCTTTTGTTTAGTGTACATGATCAAACTTGGCACCCTTGAGAACGAGAGCACCGCAGATGTCGAGTGGCGTCACCATGCGTATACACACACAGCGAAGAAAAGGAGGTTCCTCAGTGTGCAATAAGATAATAAAGGACCTAAGAAAGCATAACCACACTGTCAGAGACAGTGCTTTTTTTGACTGATAACAGTCTTAAAATGTGGAGTTTAATAAATAAGAAGTGAGGTTTTGTTAAAGTAACCTACCAAATATGAATAGAAGTTCAAGTCAATTGTTTGATATGGTCAACAATTATGGGTGTTTGGACTGCATCACATACATCATTAGTGACAGCATTTTTAAAATTAACTTTCTGACAAACTCATTGTTAAACCTAATGCATACTACACTGACTGTATTATAACTGTTCAACTGTTTAATAATAAAAGTTGTTTTTAAGGACCTGTATAGTTCTAGTGGTATTTTGTATTTAGTGGAGAATAAAAACACACGTTCTTATCTACATACATGAGCAAACATAAAGGATTTGCAAATATATATTCAAGTGTATAAATAACATGTATGTTTCAAATGTATTAACTAATTTGTATTGGTTCGTTTTTGCTGCAAAATGTATGTAGTTAGTTTACATTACAGACTATACTGAGAACTGTCCGTTACAAGAACAGTTGGTGTTGTCAAATGAAAGGACGAAGCTACAAGAATTAACCAATGAAGACGGAGCATTTCGGAGGTTTTCCGCTTTCCCCGAAGTTCTTGACAGATCCGACTTCAGATTGAGAGAATTCAAGATGGCTGCTACAGGTAAGAGTGTATCTTGTATCCAAACTGTAACAAAACACTGGTGGGAAGATGTTTTGTTTTTATGACATGTATTGAACCAACTGTATCGTGTTGTTTTACGCATGTCAGGTAGATAAGTCACGGTTGAGTATTTTGGGAAGACACTAAAAGTAGCCAACAAACTGACGCGGTGGTAACCCCCCCTTCTCCAAGTTGGCTAACGTTAGCTGGTTAGGAGTAACGTTAGCATTAAAGCGGTACACAGTAAGTGTTAAAGTAAGCTAGCCACTGAGTTAGCTAGATAATCTCCTTTAGCGCTCCCGTCGGCGCTTAGCTAACTAGCTAGCTAGCTAGCTAGTTTTAAATCGAGCAGAGAGGAGTTTACAAAAGCTCTGATAACTTTGCATCGTTAGCATTATATCGCCACTATGTCACTTCGTACCTACTTACTACTATATTTAAAAGCAGTTGACTAGTTAGCCAAAGTCATTTAATTGGCGCCCCGAGTGAAACGTGGCCTCCCAAAACTCGAAATGTCATATTGCATAGCAGGCAAATCCTATGGTAAGCTAACTGGCCAACGTCAGCTAGCATTAGCATCACGCGAGTAGTTAGCAAGTTTGCAGCTTTGACTGTCAGTGCTTCATTTCAACATTAACTTAACTCTCGGCCTATTAACGTGGTAGGTGACGTCAGGGAAAGTTGACATTTGTTATGTGAGATATCTGAGTTGTATAAAGCGTTGTCGTTTGTGCCGCTAAATTACACAGATGTAACGTTAATACTCGGTAACGTTACGTGTCATTCTCTCGTGTATGAACAGACATGATTTAAAACTCGGGTAATTACGTTAAAAGTTTTCCTCTTCAGGGACAAAGGTTGTTACCTATGTGAGAATCACTAAGAACCCTTCACGACTTTATCTGGTTTACCTTAGATAATGCATCCATCGGGCAAATAAAGTAGTTTCAATAACGTTATGAATTCAAGATTTTAAAGTATCCGTTGTGGCTGCTGTCCAGCGGACTGGTGATTTTTGTTATCTATCGAGATATGTATTTATAGTGTCTTGCATCACTTTCTCTCCATATAACTAAGTACAGTGTTGAGAAAGGATGCACTCTTAATTTGATGTATTTTTCCTTTATTCATATTTTAATAGTCATGAACAACTAATTCTCCCAATAATCAGTCTGCTCCATGTTTTTATTTACGTCATATTCCTTTTACCTATGTGTATAATCTGGCATTTGTACATTATTATTATACTGTACATTGCTAATGTAAATGAAGACAGTGTGTGCTATGTTGGATTCTTATAGTTGATATGTTAGGAGGGGGATCCATATATCTGCGATATATATTGCGATGCAGGAATTTGCACCAGATGACTTGCATCACTGTTTTTGGTCAGCATCAACCTTTCCATAGCCTAAATAATTCCATACAACTGACATTGCTTTTCTTTTTGCAACCAAACCTTCCTGTTCTGTGCTATTCTCCTTGTTTTTTTTGTTTTTTGTTTTTTTGGATAAACTCATCAACAATGACTGTGATTGGTGGTTCTCTGTGCGTGCAGAGCCTGTCACTCACTAGCAACAAACTGTATCCATGAATGTTTAAATCAGAGTAAAGTAGTTTCCTTTTGAATTAAGCAGCACAAAAATTGTAGCAAGAGATACTTGATACTGCTCATCCTGTGATGTGACTAATGAGCATGTTCACATTGTGATGACTATGCCAAAACGATATATTGTGTAGCCCTAATATCTAGGACAGAAAATGCCCCTTTGCCTCAAAAATCAGTTTCAATAATTACAAAAGGTATATTGTGTCCATGTTCTTACAGGTTCAAAGTAAAGAGCCAACTCCTCTGGACCCCACTGTGTGCATGAAGCTGTCCTTAGGTTGCAGTGCAAGTGCTACATCCCCCAGCTCCTCTTGCCTGTCATTATGTCCTCCACCTCTTCCTCCTACTCCTCCTCGGGGGAGACTAGTCCGGAGGACGTACCCCGAGGTGGGGGCACCATCCGAGTCTACCTCCCCAACAAACAGAGGACAGTGGTGAGATCATTGGCTCTATACTTCTCTTTGTTAATGATGTAGTGGCATGCAATACATTCAATAAATAAAAATGTGAGAAGTGGATCATTGAGTGATAGTTGACAGTGGGGCTGTGATGTTACGGATCTTTTACTACCGTGTGGAAAAAGCAATGTTTCCCCACAATTTGGCCAATTACGTACCCCCCACCAAACCTTCCAAAAGAACAACACTATCTGCAAAAGTTGTTAGATGGGTGAATGGACAGATACAGGAGGAGAAAAGCGTAAGGGGAGATTTTCTACTATAACTTGTAGTCCAATTTGTGTGTAGAAATATTTTTACACTTCTTATAAAAACATAAAAGATCTCTAAAGTAGTGGTTAGCTCTGTTGCTTTACTGTAGAGGTTTGTGCAGTTCAATTCAGTCCGTCCATGCCCTGCTCTCTCCCTCACTCACTCTCACACACACACACACACACACAAACACAAACATATTGGCAAAAATGAAATACAAAAGGAAAAAAGAAGTGGTTATGACAGTAATGAACTCAGCCCTGCAGTTAGCATCACATGACTCCAGTATTGTGGTTATGCTGTTATTGTTGCAGCCCTAGTTGACAGTTACCACCACTGTTTGTTGGAAGTGTAATTATTCACTCAAAATTTGACATCTTTCACAACATGGTAATGAGTATGCCAGTGGTCTGTTGGTGTCAGGTTTCACAGATGGTGCCTACCACCATTTTTCACTTCTTTGAGTTAAAATTCCTATCAGACATAGATTTCATGTTTTATGTATTAAATTTTTCATGTATTATAGCACTTTTTATTTTAATGATAACAATCAAAACATTCAGAGCTGAACTGAGAGCAGGGGAAACATAAAGGAAGCTCAATTTTTATTTTTGTTTGACTGAGAGAGATCACTTATTGATTCCCCAGTTTTTACCATGGGTGTAATCTGTAAGCATACAATCAGACAGAGATAACAAACAAGTATATGATGTGGTCAAATGACAACGACAACATTGAAGCTCTTATCATTGGCTCATCACAGTGATAGGACTTAATAAAGAAAAAAAGAAACAGAGTTTTTTTTTTAAACAATTTTAAGGTTTTTAAAAACCATTTTGTTTTAAAAAATTGTACTGTTTTGCAAATTATTTGTCAGCCCACTCACAATAACTTCACAGCAGTGAAACATCAGTGGCCCCTGGCCCATCAGTGGTCCATAGGTAGGGAACCACTGTTCTAAGCCATAATTTAATAAGCCATGAGAACTTTACTGGCTGAATTAAATCAACAACAACACTATGTACCAGGTCTGCTTTGTATTACTGTGTTAGAGATGAATATATATGTGAAATTAATATAGATGTATATGTCAAGTTAAGTCAAATTTTATTTATATAGCCCATAGGTTTGGGTGCTAATACGGTTGCAACGTTGTTTGTTTCACTACCATCATGAGAAAATTCTGCTGCACAATGTGCACATATATAGACCATAATAAATGCCTTAAGAGTGTCCAACACCACTGACTGTGTGGTTGAAGATGCTATGAAAGTGAACACAGAATTTTTTGTCAACAATGTACTTTTTCAAATGAATAACCTGTCAGAAATGATTAACAAACTAACTAGGTATTTAGAAGTGATCATATATGCACGTCACGTGACAGCTTCTCCTCAGAAGGAGCGCACCCCAAATGACAAGCAGATAGAGGGGGCTGGTAAAGAGGCAGACAGACAACAGACAACTTGATAGAATTTCGTTGGAATTTCTCCCGGCCCTCCTGATGGCCTGTCGGACTGACAGAGGGATCTGTTCTGTTGTCAGTGTGTTCTAAGAGAGAGAGAGAGCAAGAGCGGGGCAAGGAGAGACTGAGCAAATTGATGTGGTGCGCACTGCTCTACAGTGAAGCAGTGGCACAAAACACAACATTTAACATCTTTTATTTTATTTTAGTGTAAATGAATTTTAGTTTTTTATGAAACTGTGGTGGGACAATTGGTGGACTGCCATCTAGATAATTCATGAGAAACACTGAATGAACATAAAGACATGTTAAAAATGTTAATTTAACATAAGATCACTGTTAAAGTCCACTACAGCCATCTTGTGGCAGGAAATGATATAGCAGCTATTGGTGGTTCCCTCAAAGGTAATACTGTATACCGCAGAAAAATTTGGGGAAGGTTTAAAAGTATCAAAAATTGGATACCGCCCAACCCCAATTTGAAGAATCACAAATTTACCTCAACACCTTCTGTCTTTAGACCCTTGAATTGGACAAGGGAAAGCAACTTCCAGGTACCAGGCCAGAAGATAGGACAGTAATCATGTTGGCAGGACAACATGGAGTATGCTATATATTTGTTAAAAATCTTGTGTAGTAATATCATCATGGAACTAGCAGCTGTGGTCAGAACAGGAATGTAACATTGTTTGGGGGAAAAAAATATCTGTACAATGGACTGAAGTTCTAGTCTGACGGAAGTTGTCTGTCACAATATGAATCATTTGTAGTGTCAGCATTAACTCAATATGTGACTGTCATTTTTGCTTATCAGTACTTTAAGTATGCTTCCATGTTACCTGTGTGAATGTCATTTCAATGCCACTCTTGTCCAAATTTGGTTTCTTGTTCTCAGGTGAATGTTCGCCAGGGACAGACGGTGCACGAGAGTCTAGACAAAGCGCTGAAAGTGAGAGGCTTAAGCCAAGACTGCTGTGCTGTATTCCGCCTTCTAGAGGGGTAAGATGGTCTCACTGTCTGGTGGATGTCCACCCACACTATACAGGGATAATGGGTTGCATTTCTCATCACCTACATAAAATCTCAAGAGGCAACTGCAAAAAATTTTCACAGTCCACAAGTCCCTGGGCTACATATTGTACAGTGTGGTTTGTTAATGCATTCATGAAATATTACGACTGAAGACAGATTATGAATTGTGGTGCAGACTAATTGTGTGTGTTTAAGTTAAGTGTGTTTAAATGTAAGCAGTTCAAGTCCAGTGCCTAACCTTAAATGGTACAAGGTTAAGCCGCAAACTGCCCAACGTAAAAAAAAAAAGAAAAGAAAAGGAAAAAGAAAATCGCCAAAAACTAAAATAGAAGGAAAATTTTATAGATAACAGGCCATTTTGAGGAGTTAGAAAATTGGGTAATTTACAGTTTTCCTGTAGGTAGCTGACAGCATTTGAGGTATCTTTGCATGCCATTAAGAGTTGGAGGTGATATTTTTTTTTCTTTTTTAAATGTTGGCCTATAAAGTTCGTTGAGACTGAGGCCTAAATCTTCATTTCATTGCACAGCATTCCTTCAAAAATACCCCACCTAACATGTAAATCCAGCTGTCGGCTTAAAGACGTCTGTTGTTTTGTCAACCACTTGTATGATTGCTTTTTTGTGTCTTTGCCTCTCCAGTCGCAAGAGACTGACAGACTGGGACACAGACATCACTCCTTTAGTTGGAGAAGAGCTTTTAGTCGAGGTCCTGGATGATATTCCTCTCACCATGCACAACTTTGTAAGTAGCTGGTAAACACGCATACCCTGATTTTTCTGTACCTGAAATACCGTACCTTATACTCACAGAATGCCAACCTGAAAAATGAACTTGAAAAATACACCTAATTATTGTTTATCTAATGAATAATGAATACTCTTTGTCTGTGCAGGTACGGAAAACCTTCTTCAAGCTAGCTTACTGTGATTTTTGCCACAAGTTTCTTTTTAATGGCTTCAGATGTCAGACATGTGGCTACAAATTTCACCAGCACTGTAGCAGCAAGGTCCCGACTGTGTGTGTGGACATGGATACCGTGAGCAAACGGTGAGTTGGAGAAGAAGCATTCATTGTCATGGGCACCAAATGCCTTTCTAGTCATACAGTGCCAACAAGGGCAAAAGTTATTTTCCAACCTGCCAATGTTTCTTTAGCAGGTCGTCCAGACCAAGCATAGGTGCGATATGGGGTAAAGCTGAATTTCCGGAATTTTTCTTCAAATATATTTGATCAAAATAAAATAAAACTGCACCTGTTATAAATAGATGGAATTCCAAAAATAGGTGTTGAACAAAAAAAGCATTAAAACATACGAGTTTTCACTGTTGTCTGGAGTTTATGGTACTGTTTCTGAGGTCAAGGGTTCATAGTCACAGTCCAAAAACACAAGAGTTTATGACCAGACAGAGAACAAAGATATTAGAAGAAAAAACATAACCACAGCGTGGTGAAAGGTGGTGCTGCAGTGAAGGGAATTTGGATTCAAATCAAGAAAAAAATGCAGCCCTTATCCAACGACAAGGATCCACAGATGAGCATGATGGTATAAAAGCTTGTCTTTTATATCAACAGATAGATAGATTTCAATTTCTATGTAATTTTTACGTGTTTAAGTAGTAATAATAGTAGTTTCTATTTGCAAATGTTAATTTTGTCACATCAAAATCTCCTTAGTCATCAAAAATGGATTTTGATATATATATTTTATCCCAGTTTTTGTGAAAAAATCCACACCAGCCACTGAATTGCTCAGTTAGTGTGCTTATCAGATTGTGGTTTCTGGTTGTTAGCTGGGTTTCATGTTTGAGTCAGGATAAAAGAGCATAAATTTCACATAACCAGAGCCTCACCAACCGAAAGTCTTTCATCTGACGTTTGTTTCATTATGTCTCTTCAGTTTCATCCCATCACTTTTGCCCTCTGTTTTATCCAGGTGTTATCCTAATCCTTGCACAGATGAGTACCCACGGATATTATTGCCAGATAATTCCCCATCACAGAGCAACCTAGCCTTAACCCCAGAGCCTGCTGGGTAAGCTCCCACACTCAACAAATGATATTCAAATTAAAAAGCCTGTGGAACTGATATTCAGATACAAATTGTTGACTATTTCAATTCATCACACAGGATGGACCTCTTGTCCCCAACCTCAGCCTTTCGCTTCCCCATGCCTGGTGGAGATGGCCAGTCTCTACAGAGACACCGCTCCACCTCCACTCCCAATGTTCATATGGTCAGCACAGTGGGCCCTGTGGGTGCAAGCATCATAGAGGTCAGTGTTCACCCATGTTTTGATTGGTTGCTATTGTTACAAGAGGATCCAATCATATCTACTGACTACTATTTAATCTACTAACCTACCCGGTTGTTTTCTCACCTATCAGGGTAAATACAGTTTTATAAAAGTCAGAATAGCTTCCCCATTAGTTGGCTCAGTTTAGCGATTACAGAAAACAGAAACTGGACGTTGTTACATAGGAGTGTCTGTTGTGTGTAAAATATTTTCATCCATCACCCATTCCAATCCATCCAAAGTACTTTGCAGCTCAATTACAGGAAACATTATGGGTTAAATATGCTTTGAATAATCATTTTTGTTACACAGTTTTCTGCCAGTGAAAAAATTGAGTGTTAGTACAGGGTGCTTTGTATACACTTAAGCAGAACCAACAGGATATGGTCAAAGAAAATTAACCACATGCTAATCAGACTTGTTTTGTAATGGGCGAAGCAACTAGAACTATCAGGAAATTGTTCTTGAAATGTTTGATCTTTCTGAAGTAGGAATGAAAATCATTGATAATAACACTTTCATTTAAGTTTATTTAAGTTTCAAGTTTTCAAATGTGAATTAACTATGCTCTGTTTCTCCTCCTTTTAGGAAGCACTAAAATTCAACAACACAGTGGGTGCGTTTTTGATTATTTTTTCCCTTTGCCTGTTTGAATATTTGGTGGCAGTTTGTAATCTTACACATTTTGTAATCCTACACATTTTGTTATTCTGCTGCCTCTCAATTTCGCAGGTCCTGAGCCCTCACCGAAGCCCTCCACCAGCCCACCCTCTTCTCTCGGCTCTCCAGGTAGGAGACCACCAAAGTCCCCTTCAGAGCACAAGGAGCGCAAGCCCTCCTCATCTGACGACAAAAAGAAAGTGGTAGGTAGTCCTTAGCCTTATTCACAGGTCATTGATTATATTCAGACAGGTGTGTAATGAGTTAATAGTAGCTGGAAAACCCTTGAAGATCCATTCACAAAAAAGTAACAGGATTTACTTATAGTGTGAATGAGTAGTTCATAACATTCAGTCCATGTGTACTTTCAGCACCGAGGGGGCTACAGAGACTCAAGTTACTACTGGGAGGTCCACTCTCGAGAAGTCACCATTCAGAAGAGAATAGGTGCTGGCTCCTTTGGAACGGTGTTTAAGGGGAAATGGCACGGAGATGTGGCAATCAAGATCCTTAAAGTCACAGAGCCGACGCCTGAGCAGTTACAGGCCTTCAAAAATGAAATGCAGGTCTTACGGTCAGTACTGCATCTTCACCCTCTTCATCAAGGATTTTCACTGATTTTTGTTGCTTGTTGAAAAAGGTTTCAAACCAATTTAGTGGGTCATCATTATAAGTGTATGGGCACCATTGACCAATTATCACCTGTTCTCTGCAGGAAGACCCGCCACGTCAACATCCTGCTGTTCATGGGCTACATGACTAAACCCAACTTTGCCATCATCACACAGTGGTGTGAAGGCAGCAGCCTGTATCGCCATCTGCATGTCACAGAAACCAAGTTTGACACTATGCGGCGCATTGATGTGGCCAGACAGACAGCACAGGGCATGGAGTAAGACCTGCTGCTAGATTCCATTTCACCATCACCACTTACTCACTATTTACACCCTTTCTGAAATACTCAACACATCAACTGTCAGTTGATGAGGTGTTTTTTCCATTGCACAACTTTGTGCAATCTGAAATAAGTAGTTGTTAGTTTTGGTTTTACAGATAAATTATTCTGAGATGCATCACTTGTACGTTTCATGAATTTTAAACTTTCCTAGCTTACATCTGTTAAAGGTTTGTTTAACTTGTTTCACATATGGTTTAAAAGCAAAAAAAAAGAGACATAGTGCAGGCGCCAGACTGGCAGTAATGGTAAAAGTAAAGACTGTTAATACTGTAAGAGCCTGTGAGAAAGCTGACGACTTAGCACCACCTTTTTTAACATTGTGCAGGATGCAATAAGTGGAGTTGGGTCTTTCCAAAATTTGGTGCTCTGTCTGTTCCCTTAGGCAGATGAAATCAATGGTTTTGATTTTTTTTTTTTTTTCCTTTTTCAGTTATCTTCATGCAAAGAACATAATTCATCGAGATTTGAAGTCAAACAGTATCCTTTTATTGTCCACTGCCACTTTAGAACTTTGTAAGAGAGACCTGTGTTTGCGGTGTGTGAGTGTAGAGCGCCGTACACTCAGTCAATAACCACAAAGACAATTTTAAACAGCATGTTCTGTAGCTAGCAAAGGTTAAACCACAGACATTAATCATAACTTTAAATAGGCAGATACGTATAGCGACAGTAAGATGTTTATTATTTTGTTGGTATTTTGTGGTGCTTTGGATTTTAAATGAAACACATCAGGGTAAAATTTTGACTTATAGCTTTATATGTGTTAGCATCTATATTGGGTCAACAGTGTAAGAGTTTTCACAGTCTTCAAATGAATTTAGACAATGAAATCAAAACAAACTTTTTGCCCATTTTGGTTGACAAAATTATTTTATTTAGTTAAAAATGTAGTTGAGTAGTTTCCTTTCTACAGCTCTCTCTTCTCATAATTCCTTGCTTGTTGAAGGCTTTTGTGATAGTTAATACCATGAATATATGTATACCAGCTGTCTGATGTAACATTTCCTGAGCTCTGCTGCTAGATATTTTTCTTCATGAGGGCTGGACTGTAAAGATAGGTGACTTTGGCTTGGCCACGGTGAAGTCTCGGTGGAGCGGTTCTCAACAGGTGGAACAGCCTAGTGGATCCATTCTCTGGATGGTAAGTGTCTCGTTTAATGTATGTAATGACTTTGTTTCAATACATAGACATCCTTTATACTGGATGAAGGACGAATTGATGAATGAGTTTTTTTCCTCTTTTTTTCCCAAAGGCCCCTGAGGTAATCCGAATGCAGGACAGCAACCCATACACGTTCCAGTCTGATGTATATGGCTACGGAGTAGTTCTGTTTGAGCTGATGTCAGGGACCTTGCCTTACTCCAATATCAACAACAGAGACCAGGTGACATCACACTCTATTTTGTGTTAACACTCAATCTAAAGCAGAATATCTGATTAATCCAATTAATCTTTCTGAAGTTTTTGCCAAGCATGATGATTAAACACACTTTGAATATGCATAAACACTACTGTGTTAGGGTTCTTAGCTGGAGTGTATTTGGGTGAAATGCTTACAACCTACACCACATTCTACATGTGTAGAGGCAAAAGAATTCATTTAAAGGATGAAAAAAGGATTTCTGTATATCCAGCTTGGTTTTGTGTTTCACTCAGTACAGTTGGCAGTAAGGCTGGGCGATAAAATGATAAAGATAATTATTGCGAAATAACTTTTCCTCAATAGAAACATAAGACATGGTCGATACGACATCGTTCATCCATGTTTTGACAGAGAACAAGAACAGCCAAAGATAATGAGAATAGCGCTGCGCCGAACCAATCATGTGGCTGGAATAGATTTACAGCCATGTCAGGTTAGGTTGACGCACACACCACAGAGCGTTGGAGTAGCAGCCGGTACCAGCACGCGTGTTAATGTTTGGGCTACTGTAGCCAGGCCCACATGTACTACACAATGTACCACATTGTTTTGATTTCATGGTGACACTAGATAGAGAGTCAGGGCAGCTTCAAAGTCATCATGATTCATCCAATGGAAACCATGACTGTCTGTAACAAATGTCATTGTTGCAATAATTCACTCTGGACCAAAAAGTTTCACTAACTGACCAACAGATGGAGGGACACAGATTATAATATGGTGTTTGTCTCAGATTCTCCGGCTGTATCAAATGAAGACTTAAGACCTGGTGGCAAACTTTCCAATCTGTTCTCTTTATAGTAGCTCAAGTTAGTGACACTTGATTTCTATCCCTTCATGAATAACACTGTCATATTTCAGTAACAACCTCCTTTTTGTTTTCTTTTTCAGATAATCTTTATGGTTGGACGTGGTTACTTGTCTCCAGACCTCAGTAAGCTGTATAGTACCTCACCCAAGTCAATGAAAAGGCTCATCATTGACTGCCTGAAGTTCACACGTGACGAGAGGCCCCTGTTTCCCCAGGTAAGTGGTGTATAAGTTATTGATGTAATCTCAGCTAGTGTTTCAACTGCTACGAGCTGTCATTGCTCACGCGTGTCTTTTTAAAAATGGTGGAAATACATGGATTCCACACAAAAGTGCTTCTAAAAAGAATTTTCTTATTTCAGTTCATTTAATTGCTTAATGCTTTAAATGTCCATATATTAGCTGTTAGTAAATTTTGCACAACATCAGTTCTTTGTAAAATCCAGACCTGAGAGTGACAACGACATGTATATGGACACCATACTTAAATCTTATGTTGACAGTTTTCCTTACATTTGGTTTTCCTTCATCAGATCCTGGTGGCCATCGAGCAGGTGCAAGACCTGCTGCCAAAAATCGAGCGGAGTCGTTCAGAGCCTTCACTCCATCGGGCTGTTCACGCTGAGGACCTGAATCCCCTCCTGTTCCACACCACCAGGCTGATGCCCCTCTAAGCTCCCTGCAGCACTGGGCAGAGAGGCTGTCACCCTGTCCGCAACCACAGCACACCTGTGTCTCAGAGAGGCCACAGCTGGCTGCCCTGACAGACCACCACCCAACTCACTGTCTGCCCCTGCAAAGCCCTGGAGCTGCACCACTCAGCACAAAACTCAGTAACGAACTGCAGAAATAACCTTAACATTTACATTGACACATTTGGCAGACATTTGCATGTACTCATTTGGCAGATGCTTTTATCCAAAGCGATTTATAAGTGAGGGACATCATTAACCCCAGGACATCAGTGTCTAAATGTTATAAGAAGTAACCTGTGTCCCACACAGCGCAGGACCCAAGGAACTGTTGAGAGTCTGTCTTTTCCGGTCAGTTTCTATCACATTAAGCAACATGTTGCTTAGGAACATGTTGCTTGGTGTGATAGTGAATGTTCTTTTCCTTTATATAAGTCACAATGATCTGCTCATTAAGTGAAAGAACGGTCTACTGTGTTTAGAAGTATGTTAAAATGCCTCTTATCAGGCCGAGAAAATTCATCAGGTTGACTTGCATTAGACACTCTGTCTTACTGGGAGGTATGTTGATTTTTGACAAAAATGTAAAAAAAAAATATCATTTTTTACACATGCAATGCAAAATTGCGCTGCCCATTTTCAGTAGTAAAATATTCTTACTCTGACCTTTGAAGAGCACTGTGATCCCAGTCAAAGATTTTAATCAGTTTAGCCTGACCATGATGCTGGGGCAGTCGGTTCAGGTCACCTGATTAGCTGACATACTTCAAATGCTCAGTCGTCATGCGCCCCTTTCAGACTGCTAGTGATTTGAAAGCAGACCATGTGCCTGTTTGAAAGACTTGGCATTTTGTCTTAGTCTGAATGGGGACATCCAGTATTTACTGCTTTTGCACAAGCAATATATATGTACAACAAACCAACATGAGGAGGCAGAGGAAGATGACACTCAAACCTTTAGAAGCCTAGAAGATGTTGGCAACTTCATACACTGAACTATGAAAAAAGTTTTAGTAAGAAATAAAGAAAAATAATTGCCTTGATGAAACTCTCTGCATATACAAACAGCAGTGAAAGGCTTGAAAAACACAAGTGGTGGATCTTTGCAAATCAAAATGACCTTGTCTTCCAACACTTGAGAATAACTTATCTTAATTGGATATATGTCATCAAGCAGGCACCCCATTCTTTTAAATCACCAACCAGTGTTTCCATTGAAGTTGCAGTGGACTAATAAAAAGTCAAACACCAAAAGAGCATTTGACATGTGGAAGTTCAACAGCTGACCCAGTAGGATGTGGTCAAAATTGGCTGTAGATACAAATCAACACATTAGTCTATTACCACACTTGTAGAGAATTCGCATTATCCTCTAGTCTTAAAAATCATATTGAATGGGAACAAAACAGTAGGCCAAGTTTAACTGGTTTCAAAAATATAAAAAATAAAAATAAATAAATAAAAAAACAGAACAGTGCTTCATCTTAACACACTATCAATTCCTAAAACATTGATTTCATGTAAGTTGTGTTATTTACCCGACACCACTGGTATTTTTCAGCTCAGTCAGACTGAATACAGGATTAAGTTGTTAGGACCAATATTCTTGAAGTGTATACAGACGGATCATTCTGATATTCAACATTTTCAAGTCAGAATATTCAAAAAGTGTTCCCCCACACATTTTATTTTTGCCAGTACAGGGAAAACCTTTTAAAACATCAGTTAGGTCATCACAGGACTCCTAAAACCCATTGGAATGATAAAATGTTTGTAAGGTTATTAAGAAAATTCAGATTAGGGGCTCTCAGTAGACCATTACCTCGGTGGTGATTGATTCTATAACTACTACTGCTAACCCTAACTCCCAATTCCACTCGTCTACCCCCCACAGTGATAAAGACATGTACATACGAGGCACAGACATTACAGGTCTCATGAGAGAACAGTGTCAGATTGAAGGAACTCTCAAGACTTTCCACAGATTCCTTTTCACTATTTTGAAATCACAATGTCGTCACGCTTCAGATTGCAGATGAGATGGCTTTTACTTGTTTTCTAAATGATTGTCCTTTTTAGCCTACTGAGGAATTGACAGACAGTGAGATGCAGTCTTAATGTTAATGGTTAGTTGTATTGCTGCTACATTTAGTGACTTTTTTGTTCAGTTTTTTTCTGCACCTAGAGGATGACAGACTTGGAGTGCAGTCAATTGCCATAGTACAGAGCTTCAACAAGTCTTTTGCAGTCCTGTCTTAATATTTATTCTTAATCCCCTCAAATGTTGCACCCTGGATTAGCTCCTATATTTCATGCATTCATGCACACGCAGACATTTAATAGTTGTTGGAGATGCATTATTGCATGATTGCAGACACTAAAGGGCTTGGTCTCGTTGGTCAGGATTGGGCTCACTGCTCAGTCACAAAATGTGATATATGTGATCAACTGACCACAAATAGAATCTAACTCTGTGTGAAATACTGCACCATTATAATGGCAATCCACCAAGGTGCAAGCCCGCCTGGCTTTTAAAGGGACTGGGAGATGGCACTATGATTGGTTTATTGCATGTTACACCTAAAACAGTCCCATGATTAATTAAGACATTAAGGACAACCCTTTTGGACCATGCGCCTGGAGCAGCAACTGTTTTTTCCATGTTACATAGCAAAAGTGACCTAGACACACCCTAAATACACATTAGACCATGAGCTTTGGATCATAAAAATGGACCCCAAACTGTGATGAAAGTAATTGTGTGAAGAATGAAAAAAGCTTGAAAGAGAATTTCAAATTGTGCTTGCTTCCACCTGGCCAATGGCTGTTTAAAGTGAGTGTGAGTGTCAAATTGATTTCAGAAAATTTTGAAAATTGTATGACCCACCCGTCACCAATTCCAATGATGAAAATGGAGTTTTAGACACTAAAGAATTGGGCAAGCACTTTGTTTGAACAAGCAAATATCATCCACCTGTTCATGTAGTACTTGGCCAGTTGAGCATTTACCAGTCGTTGGTTTTGGTTTATGCGTGTCGTCATTTTCAAACAAGAGCCTGAAGGAAACTTGAAGTTGCTGTTCTCAACATCAAAATCTGTTTGTGTCACTGTGATTGAGTGTTTCACTGTCCTCTGTTTCATGGCCGAGCTTGTCCGTCCGTATTCTCTACACCTTCTCCTGCTCTCACATCTGAAAAAGAATCGAGGAACCAAACAGTGATTTGTTTATCATGTTACTCACAGAGTTATCTCTGGTTTAGGCCCGTAACTAGTTGCTGTTGTCTTTTGGCTAACGTGGTGAATATATTCAGTTTGTTTCCTTGGGCTTCTTTTGTTCAGGATTTGACCCCTTAGGCAGCGCTGAGGTGTAAACAGCTTTATGATGCAGTAACTTTCCAGTAAACGTGGATGTGTCATAACTTAAGCTGAAATGATTAAAACAAGCTGCCTTACAAAACTATGATACAAGGTCAAAACAAAGGCTACAGCAGCATAAAGATCTTCCTCAGTAATGATGGGGGAACTGCAATGGTGTGTGGTGCCTTCTTGCACAGTTGTATTTTAGAGGTCAGTGTCTCTGCTGTGTAATGACCGTGGGTTGACAATGAGAAGGCCTTAGGGTTCAGCTAACATCACTGTGCTGCTCCAGTTGTTGGATGTGACAACCTGTGCCTTGTTGATCAGGGCGTAGACTTTTGTGAAACACTGCTCCCAATTAAGAGCACAATGCTTCATGAGATTTAAGTTATCACAGGGAATAATTAGCAGTTTGGGGATGGGGCTAAACCCTTTCATGGTTTAAACTGATAATGCCATGCAAAATCACTATTCACCAGTGTGGAACCATCAAACGTGAACATGGAGGCGGGACTTTGTGCTGAACCAAGCCCGGAGCAGCTTTTTCTCTCAGCTTCTTTAATCTGTGACACTAGTGGGACGTACTGTATTTCTTAAAAGCTTCAATAGAATATCATTTGGCATCTGCTTTGACTCGTCAGATATGCTCTCAGTAGAAAGTGACATGTCTGAAGTCGTCAGATTTTCAAAAACAAATAGAAGCCGTACTTGTTCAGTCATGCTGTCAGTACCATTAGCAGAGCAGGAGGTTCAGTCAGTATTTTCATACCTGATAGCCAGTCAGCCAGTCACACTCCTGTGCTGATTCCACTTGCTCAAGGACACACTGACAGTACAGTTTACTGTTTGAATAGATGTGGTTAATTTTTGAAAAAGCAAACAATACATAGAAGTAGAAATGTGGATAATGATAATAGTTTCTAAGGCTTATCAACAGCCAACAATATTGTCATGGATTGTGGATGTTCAGTTTTTCATTTCTTGAGCACTTTAAGGAATTATCATGCATGTTGATTCTTGACTTTAGAAACAGCAGCATTGGAGAAATAATCTCACCCCAAGGTCCAATAAGCAGCTGTTATGAAGCTTGGAAACTCCATTTGCTCATGTAGATAGTGTGGTATGATCAAAAGCCCCAGAACAGTGACTAAAGGGACCTTATTAGACAACAAATATTGAGTGAAGAAAGAGCAACACCTTCTTTCAGATCGTCTCAGCTCTTTGAGGATTTTCAACCAAAGCCTTTCTAGATGTTTCACATTTCCATAGCACTGGCCCCTTTGCTGGATTTATAAGTAACCATTGAGGAAAGTATTCTGTTAAAAAAAACAAAAAAACAAGCCAGCTTTCTTCATGAATGTTGGTCACAGATACTATGCTTTGGAGTTGATCAGTACAGACTAATTGGAAGTATTAGCTTCATGATACTAATGAGTCATGTTTTTTTGCAAAAAAATTTGAACTGCTGCACCAGCAGCAGCTGTGTGAGGGTGATGTTCCTGGTGGTGGTTGGTGTACTGTTAACTGGCTGACAACCTCTGTATACTGTATGTGATGAGACTTAGCATGAAGTGGAACAGATTTTAATGTTTGTGTCGGTCATTAAACCTTGAAATTTAATGTTGTCGAACTAGGGGCTGGGAACCCTAAATGCTCTTACTCATTCCAGTTGTATTGGTGGATTGTGGTTTAGGGGGACACTGGTTTTAGCAGCGGGGGTTGGGGTGGGCATTTCTGAACCAGGGTTGGTAAAAAACTTTGCTTCTGTCTTTCTCTTATTTATTGCAACTGCAACTGCAGTTCTTTGAGGTGGATGAAATGTTTAGAGACAGAGCTCACTCTGTCATTCAATGTTGTCTCTCCAACCAGAATGTTCTTTTAGGCACGGTACTGTCTGTTCCTTCAAATTACTTTTATTCTGATAAATTCTCAGTTACTGCAGGGGCATTTGTAATAGCTGTTCTTTAAAGGTGCTATATGTAAGTTTTTGTTATTATGACATTGCTAACGTTAGCATTAGCAGCTGCCCACCTTACCAGTCTGGAAGTTCAGCATCAAACTTCATTCCTTTACTCACCAAGATCAACACAGATGTTAACTCTTTTGTTTCTATGTCTATTACTTATTTTCTTCTACTGAAGTTAGCATGCTAACCAGCTAGCCCCGCCCTGGCCCGTCTTGTATAGTGAGTCACTCTGGCGTCCGATCCCGGGAAGACGCCGTGTTTGGTGGTAGAGAAAACTTACATATAGCACCTTCAAACATCTTGAGCACAAACTAGTTATCAAACTTTTTTTAGAAACATTTTGTTTATAGGGTTTCACTACGATAGCATTTATTAATGGCAACACTTCAAAATACTGTAAAAGTATCTTGTTATTGTGGTGAGTGGTGTGTTAAACTTGAGCCTGTCCTGTGATATTTAAGAGTAGCTTACAAGTATTTGAATATTTGAATGGCATGAGCTGCTGAATGGAACAAATCGATCTTTTCTAAACAAGCTGCTTTATAAAACCTTTGAGCAATAGCAAGGGCAGAATGTCCTTTTTTAAGATCTCCATAGTGCAAGATCAGGAATGCTTTAAAATAATGTCAGACCAGGCTTCCTGTGAGTCAGTGACAAATGTGCATCGCCACTCATAGGGACTTGCTGTAATGGACGACTCTGTTCGGCTGTTCAGAACGGATATTTAATAATTAAGGCTCAGTTTTCTGTTAGCGGGGACTGTGAAAGGCTGTCCAAGAGGACTGTGTTCATCTGGTATCTAATGGAGGAGGGAGAAAGTGCCACACTTACTGGAAATCCCTGTTAAAATGGACCTGAATGGCTTCCTGACACACACAAGATACTGTCCTGCCTCTGGAGACTTACAGGGAGGGGCACCGCAGGGGGAAAACCAGTCTTAACACAGCTGTTTGTCTCAGAACAGAAGAGGATGAGAGAGCTGTATCGGAGTAGTTATTTTTGTTGTTGTTTTTGTTTTGTTTTTTTTTTTGGTCTTTTCATATCTGTAGGTGAATTACAATATTTGTGTTAATAGTTTATGAGGTGTCAGGGTTGTTCAGTTTGCAATAAATGGTATATTCTGCTGTGTACAGTTACATTTTTTTTAATTACAAAAATTGTACTTGTTTCTATTTTTGTGTGTTGGTTTCAAAAGAACAAAATTATTTTAAAGTGTAAAGGAAATCTTAGTATTTTTTTAGTTTTTGTCTTAAAATATTGATGCAGGATTTATTCTTTAAATAAATAAATTCTTCTGTGTTAAATGCTTGTTTTCAACTTTCTCTGCTTGTCTCGTTAAGTAGGTTTTTGGTGAGACAGGTCAAATGTTTGTGTCAGTTTCTTGATGGAAACTCTTAAACACGCATATCAAGGAGTAACTTTACATATAACACTTTCGCTGCCTCTTAAGTAATAACATGTAGAGAAACACAGCTGTAGGACTGAGTGTTTAGAGGAACTAAGTGATGGTTGAACGGGGTCAAATGAGGAAGTGGTTACATCACAAGTCAAAGACAGGAAATGATCATCTGAGAACATGAATATAGTCAAAATGGAGGATACAGTGCCATTTTAAAACTAAACAATACATTACAGGATTTCTAAAAGTTGTCAGTGAAAAGTTTGTGGAAGAATTTTACCTACATTTTGCAGAAACAAATGCTTTTCAAACTTTAATCCCTTTGTAAAATATACAGCAGCGATATTAACAGAAACTTTGCAACAAGCAAGTCATACAAAACTGCTTTCATTTCACACAGCTGAGACTGAAATAACATTCCACATAGCTTTACCTCACTCGAAACAGACATTGAAATATATTTAATTTCAGCTTTTCATTTTCCAGTGCAAGTGAAAAGTGGAATAAATTGATATAACAAAATGCTGCTGTCAATGCTGTATTTATAAAATAATTTTCTGAGCTTTCAGAAAAGTCTCATATATTCTCAGGCACAGGATTTTTAAAGGACAGAACTGTACAATCATTAACTCAAAAATACAAAGATAAAAGGCATATTGTCTATAGCTCGTCATCAATCAGGTTTGATTGTACACCAGGTTTTTTTTTCAGTATTCTTAAATATAAAGACGGGTGACAAATTGAAGGAAAACCCCAACACTGCAGCGGGCTGTTGGGCCACCATCTGCTGCCAGAACAGCTTCAAACAGCTTCAATGCTCCTTGGTGTAGATTATCAGAACGAGAATGGAGCGATGAGCATCATTCTTCTAAAATAGATTCCCTCATTTGGTGTTTTGATGGTGGTGATGGAGAGTGCTGTCGACATGTTGGTCCAAAATCTCCCACAGGACATGAATTGGATTGAGATCTGGAGGTTCATGCCCTGTACTTCACTCATTCATTCAGGTTTTTCCTTTAAAGAAGCTATATGTACGTTTTGTTATTGCTACGTAGATAACATTAGCATCCTCTTGTATTGTCAACACAACAATGACTGAAGCAGTTGGTGAGACTGGTAAGTAAACAGCTTCTAATGCTAATGTTAGCTAAGTATCAAAAGCAAAACTTAGACATAGCTTCTTTAACTTGTCCCCCATCTGTAGTTTTACAGGCACAGTGGAGGTGGAGCCTTATATTCAATTCTTACTTCAATTCTTTTGTAAAACACATGGCAAAAAAACACTTATTTACATAAATGTATTATTTGTTGCACTATGAAACTTAAAATGCAATTGATGGGTTGTACAAACCCACATTGACCTGCTTCATTTATGGTAAAACAAACAAATACTGTTTTTACTGTTGCCAGAGGAAAGTTTTTTTACTTTTTAATCAGTACACTGTTATTTACATAGTTGCGAAAAATAAGGAAATGGTTTTGATGCAAAAGGGACAACTTTCATTGGACATACTTTAGTTGGCGGGCCTTATTTGCCCCACAGGCCACTATTTGCCCAACACTGGTCTACAACTTGTAGCCCAGTCCAGATCTACTGATGTGGCAAAACAGCGTCATGGCGAAACACATTCCCAAAACCTGTCAGAAACAAGAAAAAAAATGAAACATTATATATGAACTTGTTGCCTGATGTTTTGTTCTGCATGGACATATAATTATAGATTTTATTATATATACAAACCTCAACCATCAAGATTTGTGTCACTTCATTCCACATTGCAAAGTTTGTCAAACATTGTTAATCAAACAGTGTAGAATTAAAATATAGAATTAAAGCTGTAAGGTCCATGTGTGTAATTTCAAGATCACAAAATAATTTCTTGAGAAAAAATATTTTTGACTAAAGAGTTTCTGTTGATTTATCTGTTTTTTCAGAGTTCAAATCTACAGTGGCCCTGTGAGCTCAAAGTATTGCAACTTAAGAAAACACATGCAAATAAACAAAGCAAAAACAACCTCAGATAACATCTTCATCAATTTGACAACACATGCTACTCACACACTAACACAACAGAAGTTGGCAAAACTGCTGGTTCACCCAAAAACACAATTCATATGTTTAGATTTTGAATGTTAACAATAAACTGCTTTCCTAGCAATTTGGTGGTTACATTTAATAAATATTTGAACACTTCCACCATCAGTTTACCTCGATAATGCAGAGGATGATGACAGAAATCCCAGTGTGTAGGAAATTTTCTTCAAAGAAGTTCTGTAATGTTAACAAACAACCCTGCAAACGGAGAACATAAGTTTGAAATGAATGCAACCAACAGTCAAATATAATAGTATGACTCCTCTACAGTATGTCAAAACAAGTCTTGATCCCAGCTGTTCACAGGGGTTACACTATCTACCTTTTCCCAGTATAAAGGCCCAGATGGCTTGGGTGGCTTCACCAAGCAAGACTCAGGCACGTTGTTTCCCCAGTCTGTCCTATTATTGACTCCACAGCACTCAAGCTGAAACAAATCATCAACATCTTAAACTGAGACTGAGAACACATAGTTCCCAGTACTTTGACACACCACATTCACAGTTATTTGTGTGAGCTGTCAGTATGTATCTGCTCTGACACACTTACGTTGTTCTGAAGCAGATCCCACTCATTCAATACATCCCTCGTTGAATTTCCAGTCGTTCCTTTAGCTTTCGCTAAACCCTTGTTGAGATCGTCTTCCACCATTGTAGCAATCTAAACAGTGAGGTGACATTTGCAGATAGACTCTTCATGCATTTACTTTATAAGCAAGACACATAGTGTGAGAACTGATGCATGTAACCCTACCTCTCTCTCGTACATGAGTAGCAAGCACGCTACAGTCAGCTCCACCAACATCAGTATGAACAGCAGCAGGAAAAACTGTCATCAGAGTAAAGTTTAAAACAGTCTATTATGTTTTTACTATTTCAATTGCATTAAAATATATGACAGTACCATATAAGATTTACAGAAATTAAAGGAAAATTCAGGTTTCTTGCAACTTGGGTGGCATCTTGTTAGTTTTCTCCATTATTATTCTCAGGATTAATAACATAGTATTCACTAAGTTAACTGAGATCCGGTGACTTAAAACTCACATACATGACCACGTTTATGATGAGAGCATAGAGCGTCAGCTTGCTCAAATCAAATTAACTTTAGCTTTGTTTTGCCCATTGTAAGAGCAGCAAACAATCAACCCTATCTCTCTAACATTAATGGTACGTGCAAAGGTAGTTAGTCATCGTATTCATCCTCTATGGAAGGTCAGTGGTTCGTTTCTCAAGGCAGTGTAGCTGACAATGTATGATGTGTGTCAAAACACACATGCCTGTTGTTTTCTATGTAAAGTCCTACACAGCAGAGGCTGTTAATTCTCCAGAAAAAGCAGCAGTTTATCACATTTGCTCCCTGCATCATTTACGTCCTGTACTGTACCCTGACTACTTCTAAAGTACCTCTGTGTGAAACACTGTGACCTTTTTCCGCGGTTTGCAGAGCTTTCTATGTGCTTAAACTTTGATCCATGGCAGTACGGAAGCCGAGAAAAGCCATACATGCAAACATATTCTTTATATAGGACTGTTGTGGAGAGACGCATGCAATGTAAGATGGAAGCCATCTTGGACAATACCAACCATCTCCTCCACAACATTCTGGCAGGACAGAGAAACAGCTACAGCTGCAGCTAACGTCTCATCTCACTGCACTGCAGAACAGAGAGGTTCAGGAGATCCTTTGTTCCCACTGCCATCAGGCTATACAACTGGACTAATCTAATTATTATTGTTTATTTATTATCAACTGTTATCATTATTATTATTATTATTATTATTATTATTATTATTATTATTATCAACAATAAGGTAATGGACACATGAATTTCTCCATTATCCATTATCTCAAGATAACGGAATAATTATCCCTTTATCTCGACATAATAAATCTGCGTTATCTCGAGATAACGTCCTTATCTGGACACTAGATAATTATTCCATTGTCTAAAGATAATAGGATAAAAAAATATTTGCGAGTATGGCCTTTCCCGACTTCTGTACTTACCATAGTTGTGCACATTCAATTTCCTTAGCTCATTTAGCTCTGTGATTCAGTCAATGGTATTCCTTATGCAACCCCCTGGGGAATAAGACTGGTATTTTGTGCTAATTATGCACAGTCACATAACAATGCTAATATGCTAATGTTTAGCAGTTGGTGTTGGTGTTGGTCGATGAGAAGTCATTTGATCACCAAGGTTTTAAATTTCATGGCAATCCATCCAGTAATCGTCCAGACATTTGACTCACAACCGCAAAAAAAGGTCAGAGGATCACTAACATACTGTATGTAGTATGTATGTACTATGGATGTCTGTACAAAATTTCATATTAATCACAGAGTAACGTACAAGGTCACAAGTAGACAAAGTTCATGTGCATTCACTTGGATAAAATGGTTCAGATCCTCTGGCTAAGCTGTACAATGACAAAGTACAAAGTACAAAGTACAATGACATCTTAACTGATAAAAAACATTGTTAAAACTATGAAAATAAGAGAAAATAAGACCCAAGTTGTAAAGATAGACACTTCTAATGAATGAATCATGTTGTAGTGAGACAAATTATATAAAATAGAAACAAAACACAAGCATGTTGCGATGTGTCAAATGTTTCCTTCACTTTCACTTGGTCACTTGGGGGATTTTGATGCACATGCTCAAACAAACTTTTTTTTGAAAACACCATGTAGTAGTGGTAAAAAATTACAAACGCTTTCAAAAGAGCTTTAAAGGATCAGTTCACCCAAATTCACATGACACAATTTTTTTTTCTAGTAGTCTAGGTCTTGAGATATCTGTCTCTCAATGTAAATGAGATGAATGGAATGTCATTTGTGGTGTTATCATCACTGAACAATCAAAAGCGGTGCAAGGGTCTTTCCAGAGAGTGTCACAGTTAATCTAGATAATCCGCAGAACAAATGAGACTACTTTCTGCAGAAAATGAGGTAAATGAGGGTGGATGGTCTCTTTAAAGACCCTACCCACTGTCTATAAGCCTATATGGATCATATCTGTGTGTCCCACCTATCTAAATTGGCTAAAAATGTTTGTAAAATGATCAAAGATGGATAAATAATAAGAATCAGAGTATAATGCAACATCAACCCCAAGCCTGGAATCACTTGTTAAGGTGACAGTGTACAAATAACATCAAAGTTGCCTGAAATGGAGACTTGAATAGCTGAACATGAGACGTTTGCAGAACAACACAACCAGTTGGGAGCACCCAGGGGTGTCGTGTGTCGTACCGTCAGGAGAAGACAGCGGTTCTCCTTCAGAGCGCCCAGGAATCCTAGGAAGGACACACAGGTGATAACAATGCCGCTGATCAGCAGCATGTTGGCCAAGTTGAAGCTGGCCAAGGTCGGGGTGAGTGCAGCCATCTTGAAATTTACGGTCATGTACACACCGAAGCCCAATACGGCCGCACCACACATCTGACAGGAGGAGACGAACACCACAGTCAGGTTCATACACCTTACCTGATTAGATCATCACAGAACACTGGAGCAATTAGTGGCTCAGTGCCTTGCTCAAGGGCATTCCTGTAATCTACTTCACTATATTTAAAGAGAAATATTTCACTTTACAGTTCTTTAATAGCTGTAGTTACTTTACAGAAGAAGTTATTTGCAAAACATAAATGAGTGTATAAAATACAATGTATTGCTTTAAGTTATTCTACACAGCAGTATTTTATTTAAGTTAAAGTTAACACCAACTCAACCAGCTGCAACATGATATGCTTCTTACATGAGTGCATGATAATAAAAATCCAATTATTATACCATGTTGGTATAATACACACACACACACACACACACACACACACACACACACACACACACACCCTTTGTCCCACTGTTCACATCTCTGTGGCCTGTTGTTCACTGAGCTGATTCTCCCCCCATCCATCTTCATGTTTCATCATCTCTTTTTCATTCTTCAGTTACTAACATTTATAACTGGTAAAAGGAGCCTTGTTGTAAAGTGTAAAACACATCAACATTTATTAATGAGTTACAATTAGGCTCCTTTTACCAGTTATAAATGATAGTAAGTCATTAGTTATTCAGTCATTATTAAGATTAATTAGTAAGCATTAATTTGATCTTGCCAAAGAGTGAGCCTGCATCAATGTATAAAAACTGTTTTATAACTTATTTATAATTGTTTATTTATCATTTACAAAGTGTTAACAACTGAGTTAATAACCTATTTATAAGCCATTTATGAATCCTTTATAAGGGTAGGCTTATTGTAAAGTGGTACCCATAATTTTTATTAGCTCAGCTATACCACAATCTTTCCACATACTCCCTCACACTTTTAAAATAACCCCTGGTTGATAAAAAATAGACACTAACTAATGTCCGAGTGTGATGATGGATGATTGAGACATACGTACAAAGCAAAGGAAGTTGGCGACACACATGGTGTACTTTAAACACTTTAGGCAGCCCTGAGCCATTGTGTAACACCTCTGATCAGACCTGTGACAACAAACAAAAACAACAATTATATTATCATATTTCATCCAATATGAACAGAACAAACCAAAGTGAACCTGTTTCTCTCTGTGGGTGTGTGTTTCTTAAAGGTGACAAAACGTCATGGTCGCACTTGCAGGGAAGTGATGCCGCCACATCTTACTTCCTGTGTTTCCTCTTAGTTTACAGGCATTTCAAATAGCTTTTCTGTTTACGAAACACAATACGAATCATCACAGGGGTTTGGGCTACTGTTGAAATACAATTACTTCTCCAAAATGTAAAAAGAATACGTTTGGGTTTAAAAAACCCCTCCACTAAACCAATGACCAAATGATATATGTTTGTGGTGTTAAGTATATCCAAAAACATCTAATTGTTTATTTATTTATAACTGATCTTTGCTGGGAAAGAAAGATTAATAAAGTTTTTAAAGTTTTAAAGTTTTAAAAAATAGTTTTTCAACTTTAATACTTTAAAAACTTTAAAACTTTAAACCTTTTATTAAAGTTAATAAACTATTTTTACAAAGTTGATACTTCGAGTTAGATTTAGATTTAGATTTAGATTTAGATTCAGATTTAGATTTAGATTTAAATTTTTTAGCTTTTCAGCTTTTTTTTTTAGTATTCTCTGAAGACATAATGTCAACACATTTTTTTTTTTAAAATGAAGAATCAACCAGAAATAAAACACGATCTTTACAATAATCACAATGTTCTCGTTCAAAAATCAAATAAAGGACCAGAATTAAAATTTAGGTCTTACCTGTTAAGAAGAGTAATTTCTTTTTCTCTTGTTCCAAACGTGTGTTTTGCGAACTTTGCTGCTGCTCACACTTCCCCTTCTCATAGTAGCCTGGACGGTGGAGGCTCTTGGTGGGGCTTTCAGCAGCCCTTCTCACTTCCTCATTCTCAGAATGAGCAATGCGGAAAATCTATGACTGAGAAAGTGCAGCGGATGACAAAACCAAAATAAGTGCAACAGAGACAGAGGACACATGTCTGTGACACACTACTATGTTTAGACAAGATGTATGTTCAAAAATATAACCTGCTCTCAAACAGGCAAACTGGTCAAAAGCTGTGAGGTTGACAAACCTTACTGAGATGAGATTTTTTTATATATAAAAAAACAAATAAAGAACAGTTCAAAATAGTATTTGAAATAGAAATCATGTTAGGATGTTGCTGCGGGTCAATAATGAAATATTTGTTTGGAATAAGGAATAGATCTATGTCCTGTATATACTAAAATGTGTTTTAAAGGAGCTATTTGTCATTTTTTGCTATTGCTACATAGCTAACATTAGCATTAGCAGTTGTTTAATACCAGTCTAGGAGAAACGTTGCGAGTTCAGGATCAAACTTCATTCCTTTACTCACCAAGAGTTGTCTTCAGAGGTGGAAACAAACATCAGTGTGAACTCTTGTGAACTCTCTACTGAAGTTAGCATGCTAACCAGCTAGCCCCGGCCCGTCACCATTTCTGACAGCAACACACTGTAGCCTCCAATCTCCCCTGGATTGAAGGTTCCCAAAAACAACAGTGGTTTCCAGACCAACCCTCTCCTCAGTGGAAGACACATTAAAAAACTGCTTGGAAATTGCAAAAAGGTTCCTGAAGGATTGTCAGACTGAGAGAAACCAGATTCTCTGGTCTGATGAGACCAGGACTGAACGGTTTGGCCTCAGTTGTAATGCAGTCATGTCTGGAGGAAACCAGGCTCCACTCATCACCTGAACAACACCATCCCAACAGTGAAGCATGGTGGAGGCAGCATCCGGCTGTGGAGGGGACAGGGAGCCTGACTGACGGGAAGCTGAACAGAGCAAAGTACAGAGAGATCTTTATTGAAAACCTGGTCCAGAGCTCAGGAGTCTCTCAGGGACATGTTAGACTGGGTTCAGCCAGATCCCTGCCTTCAGCCCAATCTAATATCAATCAATCAATCAGTCACTTTAATTGTCCCATGCAATGGGGCTATTGGATATGCAGCAGTGGGATATATGCATTTAGCACATATAAAAACATGGGGCACATAAATACAACACCAAGACCAAAAGATAAAGAACAACAAGTTAATACATACAATAAGTTAATAAAAACAAAACAAAAACAGCATGTTAGCAGAGAATAAGTTTAAACGACATTTACCTTTTTCTCCTAGGATTTAGGAGGGAGTCGGCAGAGAGTATAAATGAGTATTTTACAAACTTAACAAGGCATACAACAAACAACAAAACATGCTCCCTGCTGTGCCGAACATCTCTGGAAAGACCTGAAGATGTCTGTCCACTGATGGCCACCTTTCCAACCTGGCACAGCCTGAGATGATCTGCAGAGAAGAATGGCAGAAAAGCCCCAGAGCTTATCGCGTCAGACCCAAGAACACTCGCTGCCAAAGGTGCTTTAAAAAATATCTAAAATTCTGTTTTCACTTTGTCTTTATGGGGTATTGGGTGAAGACTGATGAGGGAAAAGACAAGAGCAAATAGTGAAAAATTGAAGGGGTCTGAAGAGTTTCTGACTGCACTGCGTGTTAGTCAAGATATTCCCTCTGTGACGACAAAATTCTGCCCTTCAGACTCAGGTCCCTTTGGAGCCACTGACTGAAATATTTTCACAAATATATACCACTGAACTATCTTTAACAGGCAGAAGTTCATATTTATTGATATTAAGGTAAAGTCCTGAAGCTTTAGAGAAGGACTGAATTACGTCAAGGGCATAAGATGTTTTTCTGACGTCTTTCAGAAAAATAGTTGTGTCGTTTGATATTTGGCTGATTACAACTTCTCTTCCTGCAGCAGAAATTCTTTCATAAATCGATCATGGTGGTGTGATCAGCAAGGATCTCAGTAGTTACCATCAGGCAAGATTTGGCAGCCTTGTCTAATTCCTCTTTTGAAGTTAAATCTGGGAGAAGTTCCATTTCTGATTTTAATGTAACAATTAGCATACTATATAATGTTTTGATTGCACTACAAAAAATGAGCCAAAACAAATTTCTCAAGACAGGTAAAGATAAAATTATGGTTTATGGAGTGGAAGTATGAAGCTATAGATGCTAGTAATCCAGGATATCTAAGACTAAACATAAATTATTTTAGATATGTATATTTTTTTTTATAAATCCAGATTGTGTCTCTCTAATGACAAAGTCCATTCTCTTGGCAAATATTGAAGCACCAATCTTATAATCATTGTGAAGAAGGTATATTGGATGCTAATTTTCAATGAGAAGTAAATCCTTTTTGGGTTTTGGTATTACAGTAAGTATGGCTGACTCAAACGGGGGGGGAGAATAATACTTTCTGTTTGTGAAAACTTTGAGTAAAAATAGAAAACAGTTTCTAGAATTCCCCAGTTAGTTCATCTGTCCCTGGGGACTTATCATTTTTCAAGTGATCTATGGAATAAAGTACCTCATCAATAGCAAGGGGAATATCACTGTCTCTGTCCTAGTCTGTAATACCAGAGACATAATACATCCATTCTTCAGGCGGATCCATTTGAGCCATGAAGACGAATGGGAGGTTGACTGCTGGATTTTTTAAAATACAATACAAACATGTACTACAAGTGTAATGATAGTAAAATAAATACAACTAGTAAAAACAATGAAAAATAATGAAATAATAATGAATGAAATAATGAAAAAAAATTGCCTAATATATATGTGTGTATATATATATATATATATATATATATATATATATATATACTACAATAAAACTGTGAGACAGTATACATGTCACATGTCACAGTTTTATTGTAGTGTAGTTGATTTTTTCAATTTGAGTTTTTTATTATTTTTTCATTATATCCTCTTATTTCCATGTTACCCTGCATTTATGTAGCCTATATGAAATTTACCTTATAGGATCATCAAATTTACATATTTATTATGTTCATAATATGTAATGATATGTTTACATTCGATATTGAAGTTATTTTTACTTTTACAAATTATATAATTGGTCAATCGAGCAAGGAGGATTTTGGTTCATTATTACATAAAATTGGGTGTCTAAAAATTTCGCGAAATATAGATTTGTTGGCTATATATAATGTAAAAATTTTCATATGTAATTCTTTAATTGTATTGGTGATACAAAATGTCTGGGGTAATAGCCGTACTTTCTGCCAAGCTATACCTGTAAAGATGTTGCCCCAAAATTGTTTGACTGCATCCATGCTGCTCGGGCGTTCATGACGCAGGCGTTGGTTGGTCATGTGACATGACGTCACTACTCCCAAGCCGTGTGGGGACTGTACCAGGCTCGTTTACACGTGAGTTTTGTTGATAATGATAAGTTCTGTGTATATTCAGTATTAAACTAACTAATAATTTGACTTTGGACATTTTATTCACCCATAGAAAATCTGTTCACTCTATGAAATGACAGTTTGCGCTGCGTGGGACCGCAGCTAGTTAATTATAGCTTGCTAGCTAGCTACCAAACAGATTGAGTTAGCTCAGTTAGCCTACAGAAAGTTAGCTAGTTAATATTGCTTAAGGATGAACGTACCACTAAAATCTCAGTTTACCTTTGGTTGTGCAGTTAAGACGTATTAATTTTGTTTTCAGCTACTGCTCTAGCACAGTAATGTTATGCAGATCAGGTGGTCATGGCTTGGAAGTCGAGGACCCGCAGTCTACAAGTGTTTGACACGGAGCAGAGTGCTGACACGGTGGAGTGGTGTCCTGTTTCACCGAACCACAACATCCTGGTCTGCGGGACATATCAGCTACAGAAAGGGGTGAGATTGACAACTGTCCTGGTACATCCATTACCAGTCACATGGACAGAACCTCATACTAGTTAATGTCGTTGGTTTTTTATATTGTAACTAAAAAATCGATCAGTAATCACACAATGACATGACCTCAGATTTTTAGCAATCGTTAATGTTAATGTTAACTCATATTTACAGTGCAGTACGATTGTCTTGGTTCTGTTTGGAGCACCTTGTATTTGTGAAAATAACTACAATGTTTAAAAGCTGACTTCAACTTTAGGCACGAGGACAAAATGCTAGATTACCACCAGGGAAAGTGGGAAACTGCCCCAGAGGCTTGAAAGCCTCAGGTACACTCTGCCTTAGTTGCTTTGCAGAAATGTCATAATCACTTTGTTTAGGATAATGCACCATTAAAGCACAATATCAACTAACTGGCTTTTGTCAACTGGCTCTACAAAAGACGGTCATTCAAAGTTCATATTCAACACTTAAAAAAATTAAAAATCAGACTTGGCTCCTAGAATTAAAGGATGTCTGTCTTTCTCCAGCTGTAAAACTATTGTGCAGTCAACCTTCTTGTCTGTCCTCGACTATGGTGACATTCTGTGTTGTTATGCTGCTCCATCAACGCTGCAACTGTTAAACCCAGTGTATCACAGTTTATCACAAATGACAGATACCATACTCATCATTGTTCTCTGTATTGCACCGTTGGTTGGAACTCCTTACAGTCAAGAAGAAATAGACATCCAACATTACTAATTTATAAAGCTGGAATGTTAAATCTAATATCCACAGAACACGATCCAGTAACTACTAAACCCTCAATATCCCCATGTTCTCATGTTGTCAGTTGTGTCTCGTGACTGCTTTTTGTTCTCAGGTCTTTCTTGAAAAAGAGATTTTAGTCTCAATGAGACTGCCTGATTAAATAAAGATTCAATTTAAAAAATCAAGTTAAATACATAAGAAGGGCCTTATAGTCAACCTCTGTCAAAATCTGTTGTAAGTAGTGAATGAATGGCCCCGCATTTTCTCTCATCACATGGGCTACAATTTTTGCAAAAAACAACCATTCCAGCTAAAATCGCAATTGCAATATCTGCCAAAATAATCGCAATATAATTTTTT